GATTTTGGGTGGACAGCACTGCTGGAAGTGTTGGAGCTCGGCGGCGACGACTTGGACCACGTTGAGATCACAAGGGCGCTGCTCGCGGCCGGAGCGGATGTGAACCTTGCCGACAAGGAAGGGAGGTCGCCACTGTACGTGGCAAAAAAGCACAACCTGAAGCGCATCAGCAAACTTCTCGAGGAGGCGGGCGGCCGAGCTTAAGTGGGTGGCCAACGGCCAACAGTGCGGCTCTGCGGAAGAGAGTGAACAGTAACTTCCACTGAAAAAGAGGGTGGTTGCGGGTGGAGCGATGAACTTGCATATACGTGTATGTCTGCTGGTGCGTGTGTGTGTGTATGTCGGAGAGGGGGGAAATGGCCACTTCCTCGCACTCCCTTCATTGCCGTGGTGGTGGGGGGGGGGGCGATATTTGCCCCAATATTTCTTTATCTTCTTTTTTTGCTTGTTGCCGTGTTTCTGGGGCGGCGTTGTGCTTGGCACCTGATGTTTTACTGGCCTTTCCTTCTTTTTGTTTGGCTGTGTGCTTTTCCCTTGTCGAGATTTGCTTTGGGCGGGAAAAGGGACACGAATGACTGTCCTCCCCCTTTTTTTTGTTGTGTGTTCGTTCCGTTCTTCTTGACACTTTTAGCTCGTTGCCGCGCTACCCTGTCACGGGCGGCGCGTGAAACTGATGGCCTCCCGCGTGGAGGCGAGAGAGGGGAGGTGAGGCCTGTTTGGCACCCACTTCTCTTTGACCCTCGCCGTGTGTGTGTGTGTGTTGTCGCATGAACAGGGCGGGGAACCGGCTTTCGGTTTGTTATTGTTTCCGCACAAACACATTCTGCCTGCGGCTGTCCCCTGCGGGCGCACGAGCCGCAGCGGGCAGCGTAGTGGAGTAAAGTACGGGAGAGGGGGGAATGCTGGGTTACTGACCTCACCTCCAGTCAAAATTGCCTTTTTTTGCCTCTCACTTGAGTCCTTTCATTCATGTCCCTTTGTGTGTGTGTGGGTCTGCTGTCTTCCCCATTTTCTTCTTTCCACCGCACTTCGGTTGCCACGCACCACCAATGTTGCAGTGCGACTTGGTTTGGCTAGCGCGTTGAAGGTGCGGCTGCGGGCGCCCTGGTAGCGAGACGGAGAAGGGGTGCGAGAAGAGGTATTGTTTTCCAATGGCCAAGTGTCCTACTGCTGACGCTGGGGCATCGGAGTTTGTGCAGTCGTGCGTCAAATTTGCGACAAACGTCGCGTTCACCGACGTTGCCCAGTACAATAACAGCCACGCAGCGGGCCTCGCATCGTCGTTTGTTGTCCTCGTTGGCACACATGCCCAATTGCGGGAGGATGCGGTGAAGAAGCTCCCATTCTACTGCCCCGCCGTGGCTGAGGCGGTTGAGCGTGTGGGAAAGGGTGAGACCTACGCGGTCCTCGCAGAGGGCCTCAAGAATGAGGCAAACGAGAGGTTTGTGCGTGTGGTGGTTGGTGAGGTGCCGTCTGAGGCGTCCCGCACAAACTGTCCTGCCCGGCCTGACGTGGTCGCCGCCCTTGTGTCCACGGCGCTTGGGGAGGTGAAGGGGCGGGAAACCAAGGTGGACGTATTTGTGCGCTCAACCGCGGCTGTCGCAGTGGCGGTGGCAGTGGCGCGTAGCGCACGACGCAACTTCACCGCCAAGGAGGGTCTGGGCGCGAAAGGGTACTGTGACGACAGCGTCCGTCTCACGGTGGTGTTCCCGGTCGCCCCCACCCCACCAGCAGAAGAATTGGCTGTCATTGCCGCTTCGACACAGCTTTGCCAGCGGCTTGTGGATGCGCCGACGAATCTGCTGAACACCGCCACCTTTACGGAGGTCGCACTGGCGTACGCCAAGGAGCTGGGATGTGCCGCCGACGTCATTTGTGGCGAGGAGCTGCGCGAACGGGGCTACGGCGGCATGTATTCTGTGGGTAAAGGTGCGGCAGAGGCGCCGCGGCTTGTAACGCTTCTGTATAAGCCCAAGGTCGCAGCGAAGATGAAGGTCGCCTTGGTTGGCAAGGGTATCGTGTACGACTGTGGCGGTTTGGCGCTGAAGCAACCCGCCTTCATGACCGGGATGAAGCGCGACATGGGGGGCGCCGCGGCGGTCTTTTGTGGTTTCCTCGCCGCCGTGCGTCTGCAGCAGCCAGTTGAGTTAAGTTGCACCATGTGCCTCGCCGAGAACGCGCTGGGGCCCCATGCGTACCGCAACGACGACGTCGTAACGATGAAGTCGGGCAAGACGGTGGAGGTGAATAACACTGACGCCGAGGGTCGCATCGTGCTCGGGGACGGCGTTTTTCACGCGACGCATGAGCTTCCCTTTACTCCAGACGTTCTCGTTGACATGGCCACTTTAACGGGTGCACAGGGCATTGCCACTGGCCGCAGGCACGCCGCCCTTTTTGTGAACGATGAGGAGACCGAATTGGCCTTCTTGAAGGCCGGCAGGGAGTCCGGCGAGACGTGCTTCCCCGTGCTGTACTGTCCGGAGTACCACGCTCCAGAGTTCAAGAGTCCCGTGGCGGATATGCGCAACCTAATGCAGCAGACGAACAATGCTGGTGTCTCGTGCGGCGGACACTTCGTCGCCAGCCACCTGAGTCCGGACTTCAAGGGCAAGCACGTCCACGTGGATATGGCTTTTCCCGTGTTTGCGGACGACAAGGCCACAGGTTTCGGCCCAGCGCTGCTGATGGAGTACTTCCGGAGGCTGTGATGGCGTTGTGGCAAAGGTGAAAGAGAAAACGAGGGACGGCTTTGCCAAGAAAAACGGCTGTTTTGTGTTCTTTTGACGTTCCGTTGCATCCACTACGAATGTTTTACTGAGACACATTGGGGAGTTGTAAGGTGGAAACGTGGTCGGTTTTTTTTCTTTTTTTCTGGTTGAGCCGAAGGTGCATTTTTCTTCCTTCTTCCTTTTTGTTGTATTTCTCTGCGAACGACGGAGGGAGGGAATTTTTTTTTACATTTACTTCAGGGGACGCCAGGGCGCCTTGGTATCGTATGCGCGTACGCGTATCGGTCATGCGTGGACGTGCATGCGTAGCGGAATGAGGGCAGATGGGAGCCGTAGGTACAATTTTTTTTACGTTTTTGTTCTTGTTACTCCATTCTTGTTTTGCCTTGTTGTGTCCGCGGTTCGCTGTGAACATGTACGGTCCTGCTGCGACGCCTATGCGTGGGCACATGCGCGTGGCGTAGCTCTCGTTTTCCTCTACTGCATTTGCTCCTTTGGGTTTTGTGTTGTTGCTGGTGCTTGGCACTGGGATGGCCGGGGCGCGGTGGTGGCCCGGCGCAAAGGGAGAGGGTGTGGGGCTGCTGCGGTCCCTGGCTGGCGAATGGAGGCTGTTGCCGAGCTCTGTGCACTGTGCGTGGCGGGGGACGGCCCGGCGCCCCACCCCCCACTGGAGTCCGTTCTATCATTTGTGGTTCAGCGGGCGGCGCGAGTGGCGCTGCCTCATATGTCTGCCGTGGAAAGGGGGATTCTGACGTTGCAACTCATTTCCGCAGGCGGCCTCCAGCACGGCGCCTGCCGGCGGTTTCTTTTCCGAGAGCTCAGCCCACCGTACGGCGCTGCAGCCATCGTGCGGCGGAGCCACGAGCTGTACGTAAGGTCTGCTGAACGGACGCTGGCGCTTGGCGATAGTGAGCACTCATCCATGTTGTCACGGCGGGGCGGGTGCCCCTTGCCGCGTCTCTCCCTCTTGAGGAGGGGTGGGTGTGTGGAAAGGAACCTGCCGCCGGTGGACTTCCGTGGGGAAGACGCGGAGCGGTTGCTGTCTGCACTGGTTCAGTCGTGGAATTCCTCTAATGCTGCGTCGCCGTCGCCGCATGCGTGGTCGCTTGGAGACGTCCCCCCGGGTCTTGCCACGTACCTGACGCTGCACTATCCTGCACGCACACTGCAACTCCTGCGGACGGCAGTAGTGGGGCCGTCTGTGCCGCAATTGTGGCGCGAGTTGTGGCGGCAGGTTTTTGTTTCAGCTCCAGACGCCGATGCCACCGCTGACACGATGCACAGGCTGCTGGATCAGGGGACCTGCGCCGAGTTCTGGCCCTGTGCAGCGCGTGCGTTTGTGTATCCCCTCGCCGGTGCTGTGGGTGACGAGGATGCCGAGAAGAATGTGCTGGCGACGTTAGAGGGGCCCTCAACGTTTTTGGCGCATGCCTTGTTGTGTTTGTGGTTAGGCGAGATCAAGCACGGGTGCGGCATGACAGGGATCGAGGCGCCTCCAGCAGCTACAGAGGTTGGGCAGGGGGCTTCTTCCCTTGCTGTTGCTCCGCTCCCACCATCGCCACCGTCGCCGGCAGCGACGGATGCCTGCTGGCGTCGGGCGTTGATGCAAGGGATGCGGTGGGTGGAGGTGGACGGGATGTGTGGCTCTCACGGGGAGCCGCGGCGGGAGCGCGCGGGCGCGATTCAGGCTGCGTATGGGTTGCTGCTTTCGCTCTATCATGGCCACAGCATGGCCTCGCATTATGTGCGCGGCGCGCTGGACCACCCGGAGGTGACGCTTTTTGTGCCTTCCTTCGAGGACCTGAACGGGGCGATGAGCGGGATGGGGGCCCAATTGGGTGGTGGCGAGGGCCGTTGCGGCAGCCCGGCGTTTCTAGCTGCGTTGGCGCTTCGACTCCCCGCTGCGCAGCTGTACGTGGCGGAACGTGTCTGGCGGCAGCTTGAGGCGTTGGCGGCACCGGGCGAGGCGGACACGCGTGATCGGCAGATGTCCGAGCTCGACGCTCGTCTGCGGGTTCTGCTGAACAGCTTTGCTTGCAGCGGCCTCCCGCTGGAGTTCACTCAGGAGAGAAGGGGCATTTCTGCCCCGTTTGTCAATGCGGCCGCGACGAAGTCGGGGGAAGGGCCGCAGAACCGGGAGGATGGCCCACGCCCGATGATGCGGCTCAAGCGCGCCCGCGCCACGGGGCACATGCCTCAAGTGCGCAGCACGAGCGGAGAAGGCGGCGCGGGCCACGAGGGCCAGACACGGGTGGCCCCCACGGCTTCCGATATTTCCCTGGCAGCTTCGTTGCTTCGGAGCGCATTGACCGACTTTGCGACGGAGGAGATTGCTCAGCCGCTTACGTCCTCCAATTTTTTGACCCCGGGCGAGGCGGCACGCGACGGCCGAGTCTCTGCCAGCACCACACGCTTAGTGCTTGTGACGCCAGCGCACATGAAGTCTTTCTCGGGGTTATTTTCGACCTTTGCTTCCTCGTCGTCGTGCTCGCAGATGGTGCGCAACGTGTGCTGCGTTGTCATGTCCGTGCTGTTGTATCGTCAGTGCTGCGCGTTGCAGAGGTGGCTTCTGCGCGAGGCGGAAAGTGGACTGAAGGCTGCGGTGGTGGGGCGTTTTGTGTGGCGCCTTCGTCGTTGGGTGCGATTTCTTGCCCCTTTGGACGTGTTTCGTTACGCCCCTGTGGCAGAGGTGCTGCTGCCCGAGTGCCTACGGGAAATGAAGAGGCAGGAGGCCGGGAGCACGGACTGCAAGTCGGATGCGGCGGCCACGGCGGCCCTAGAGGAGCTGCGTGCTGCCGTCATGGCTGCCCTCTGACGGAGCGGGCCGTCGGAGGGGCCAGTGCCACGGACGGCGGCGGCGCCTCTCTCCCCATGGCCCTCTTTATTCTTTTGCGCCCTACTCCTCGCTTTCCCTTCCTCCTTGTCTTTGGCGGTCCCGCTGCATGCGCACCCTGATCTGCCGCCGCCACTCCCACAACTTTTTTTTGTTCCTTCCGTTCTTGCACCCGCCACAGCATTAGCAGCTCACACGCACCGCCGAGGAGAGAAGAAAAGCGCCGCGAGACAAAAAAGGTGACTAGTTGGGGACACTAAAGTCTCTTCAAAACATACACGCAGGCGTGGCACCACTGCAGTCGATGGAGAACGGGGAATTGGAGGGCGGTGGCGGTGTTCCCCGCGAGCACGCAGCGAAGCCAATTAGTGAGACGGCACGGTTCGGCACTCTTGTGGCGGGCGCCTACGGCTGCCTCTGCGTGTCTCTTTCCTTTGGGTTCAATATCTTCAGTGGCGATCTGCAGAAGGACGTATCATCTTTCGCAGGCAGACATGTCGACCATAAGCACAGTGGGTATTGTCTTTGCCTACTTTGGTATACCGTACGCCTTTGTCTACGACTACTTTGGCGTGAGGCCTGTCTTCGTGCTGGGGCTCGTACTGATTACTGTCGGTGCGCTGCTCATGGCACTGACGTTCAGCGGCGCCATCGCTGCCACCGTGTTGCGGCTGTGCGTCTTCAACGGCATCTTCAACTTTGGCACGGGTGTCTATGACCTTGCGTGCGTCGTGACTGTTCTCAGCCTATTCCCAACGCGGAGAGGTGTG